ATCAAGCTATTGGCTGCTATCAATATGTGAAACAACAAGCCTGTCTGCGCTTTCGTGTGATTCTCTAATGACATACATAGCAGGGCACATTCTGGGTACAGTTTAGCTGTGTCGTGCATCACTCCCTGTATTATCCCTCCCACTACCTTCCAGTATTCCCTAATGACTGGACATGTCCACCATATGTGAAGCATTGTGCCCTCAGCCTTTAAGCATCTCCAACATGTCCCTGAGGTGTTGGGATATATGGTTGCTAATCTGGAAGGCACCAGGTACCACCAAATTGTATTTTTCTCATGAGCTCCAGGTGGGTTGCACATCGAGATCTGCTTTTGTGTGCTGTGAAAGATTGTCTCCAATGGTCCTCAGAGAAGATTCTGCCTATGTCCCTGTGCCACGCTACTTGGAAGTTATCCCTCTGTGTTTGATGTGGATCGTTGAGTATTGAGTACATAATTGAGAGTGCCTTCTTGGGCATTGTCCTGGTTTCGCAAATTCTTTCTATGTGTTCTGTGTGTGTTGAGCTGTTTAAAGTGATAGAGTGGGACAGTATCCCCTTTAGTTGGAGGTATGAGACTATCGCTCTTTGCTGTAGGCCGTAGCAGTGTTGCAGGTCTGGGAACTGTTTCATCCCCCCCTGGTTGTAAAGGTTTTTGAGTATCGTGCACCCTAACTCGATCCAAGGGCGGTGGTCAAAGGAGGGGTTGGCTATGTGTATGCTGTAAATGGGAGTGGCCCCTGACCAGTCGTTTTTGAATCCCAATTGGGGTCGGGTTATGTCCCAGTTTTTTAACAGGGTTTCTGTGGTAGCTGGTATATCCTGATTTTTTTGGGCGGTGCTTGTGTGGTACCCATAGTAGGTACTTTAGGCCTCTTGGGCATACCCAGGTCGATTCCATCTCCACCCATTGTGGTTGGTTATGGGCTGTATGTGCTTGTAGCGCTGTCGCTAGTAGTGCTGCCCTATAATATGTTTGAATCTCTGGTAGGCAGAGTCCTCCCTGTGACTGAGATTAAGTGAGGACCTTCGTAGCTACCCTAATTTTCTTATATGCCAATACGAAGGAGTTACTGTTTTTTGTAGTAGTTTTATGCATGTGTTAGGGACATGTATCTGTAATGTTCTGGTCAAGTACTGAAATTTCGGCAGTATCATCATCTTCACGGCTGCCAGTCTCCCCACCCATGACATGAATTTATCATCCCACTTCTTCAGGGTATCCCTGATTTCCTCCAATAGATTCCCATAATTGAGGCCCAAGAGCCTCCCTGGGTCTTTCGAGATTTTCAGTCCTAGGAATGTGAGGTAATTCTCCCTCCAGTCCAATGGGAACGATCTCAAACAAAAATACGAGTAGCGGCGGTACATACAAAAATATACGTCTGCAGACAGACAGCAAAATATAGACAGTCGTAATGATATAGGAGACTGGTAGTGGCACCTACTGTAACTATGGGGTCATTTGTGAAACACACATAGGATTAGGAATGCACAGGAACGTACTTTACATTTTATTTTTCTCCAGCAAGGTTGGGGTTAATCAGAGAAAGCCTTTGAAGTACATATAGATCCAGACATGTGACTTCCGGGTGTGTGATCTATCCAGTGACTGAATGGCATCAGGAGATTGCAGTGCCATAAATACTCAGGGCTGGGTCTGTCTATAAGAGCCAGATCCAAGCTGTCTCTGGATGAATACAACATTCTCTCTATCTGTCAATTATACCCTCCCTGCATTACCTGCCCTGAGGATAGTCAACCTAACACTCTGCAGCTGCTGTTCAGAGGAACTCACTTTATGATCAGTGTATAATCCCAGAAAAGCTGACGTGCCCCCAGGGTAAAGGCTGTCTATGGCATTTCTCCTTTATTGGCTTGGGACGTTCAGCATGATGGGAGTTGTATTCCATTCCTGCCCCTGTCTTTGGTCGCTATCCGCAAACAGAACTAATTTATTAACACTCTCCTTATTGTGGATAAAAAGGTAATTTCTTCATGTTTGATATATAGCAAAAGTATGAAAGTGTTACTTCAACCAAAAAGCAGTGTTTTCATAAAATATGGTTTTTGAGGTTGTCTGCCCCACTCCCAAATAAAAATTAAATAAAAAAAACTCACCTCTATTCCATTGCCAAGTACAAGTTCTCCCTACATTCCAATCCTCTTTGCCTAACATGACTCCCCCTCACTGGAGTGGGAAGGAGGATTGATTGAGGGGAGAATAGGGGCTTCAAAGAGGGGGAAGCAGTGCCACCATTGGCTGTATGGTGCCAAAATGCAGCGTCAGTCACCAATTTTGCACATAATTGACATTAGCCTTCCTGGAACCTTGTTCTGGATTTGCTAATTGCTAACTGCTGGATGTTGAGGTACACCTCTAGCAGCTAAAGGGTTAATCTCTGTATGGCCAGCATTTCCCAAACATTGCGTATACAGATTCTAGGAGTAACCCTTTAAATAGGTATTCATTCCCAGGTATTTCTAAGCAATAGTTTGCAATAGGGCTGTAGAAGCAAGCTTCATATGGCTGCAGAATGATAAATAAATGAATACTCTGAAACAAAGATATTAAACAGAATTATGTAACGTAAATGGTAGGGAAATTAGGCAATGGAATTACCAGTCACTCAAGGTCCAATGCCTAATCACGAGACCAAGACTTATGGATATTGGGGGAGCAGTTGTCTCTGTGAGTATGCTCATTTCCATGGGTCTGTCTACATAGTATAGTGACTAAGGCCTCCATTTTATTAGAGCCAATCAGGTTTATCAGCTCCCAACCATCTATTCATCAGTTCGGATTAATTCACTCAATAAATGCTTATCGGAGCCGATAAAACTTGGTTCGAGTATCTAAACCGATACCTATATTTTACGTTGAAAGTATCATATGAGATGATTCAGGGCCAGTGCAAGCATTTTTGCAGCCCTAGGCAAAAAATATTTTGCCACCACCACTCATGCAGACTAACACACATGCTGACTCAAGTACAAATGCACACTGATCCATGCAAACTAAAGCACATGCACTGACCCATATACACACTCTGACTCATGCACAGACACACATACAGACATACACTGACCCATATACACACTCTGACTCATGCAGAGACACACATACAGACATACACTGACCCATACAGACACTGTCTTACCCATGCAGACACACACTGACCCATGCAGACATACACATACAGACACACACTAACCCATGCAGACACACACATACAGACACTGTCTTACCCATACAGACACACACTGACCCATGCAGACACACACATACAGACACACACAATGATCCATGCAGACACACAATGACCTAGACACACACTGACCCATACAGACACTGTCTTATCTATACAGATACACACTGACCGATAGACACACACTGACTGAAGCAGACTAACACACATTCTCTGACATCTTACCTCCATTACTGTTCCTATGCTCATCTTGCCTGCGCCTGGCGGCCCATCACTTTCTGTCTCAGCCCCGCCTCTGCTATCCTCTCGCCTACTTGCCCCCACGTACAGGGTTAGGGGCGGGAGCAAGCAATTGAAGCTCCCTTGTGCTGTTTCAGCATTGGATGCCTGGGAAGGGGGATCTGGCTCTGAGGGCTGACGTGGATGCCGCCAGATCGGTGTTCTACTGGGCGCTAGTGAGCAACAATGTTCCTGGTAACATGGCTGACGGCACTGTCAAAAAAATAAAGTGGACTGGCGCAAACTTGATCATAAAGATAATTTTTTTTAATTAGGTTAAGCTAGGGGCTTGGCGACCCATAGCCATTCTGGGGGATTATTTGGCCCCAAGTCCACCCCTCATTCTCATTAATACACAGGAAGCCTAAGAATGTGCTAAGCTGGTGAGCACTGAACAAAAACATACCCACCTGCTTCTATATTTTTCAAATAATCACAGCCTGCCCCCCATGGGTGAGGGCTGGGGAAGACACTAGTGTCCACCAAACTAATACATTTATAGACCCTATCTGCTGTTATGGAATACACCAATTTAATTAATAGCCCCCACCCGATGGCCATGGGTAGGGCTGGGATGGACAGGTCATTATTTATTATGAAGCCCCCACCCAATGACCACAGGTATGCTCACTGTTTAGTAGAATGTCCGTGGTATGGCGATGGCAGGTGGGAACTTATGAGAGCTATTAGACCTCTGTTATACTAATATGGGGTCATACTGACCAACCCTATATCTATCTATCTATCTATATATATATAGATAGAGAGAGAGAGAGAGTTTTTTTAAATTCTTTATTTTTCTGTGCAAGAGGTTTACAAGCATGTTTAAGGTGCCACAACAGCAGATAGAAGCTTTTCAACAAAGACAATATCATGACGCATGGAAACTGCACATTATTAGTATAATAAACATGGTAAATTAGAACTTGCCAGTTCTAATCATGCTAGGCTGAATGACAGTATAGTGAGTCGTTATAGGACACATCAAAGTAAACAAGCTGATATGAATAGCATAAGAAGAAATAGAGAGGTACATGTCATATTAGTGGATACACAAACTGACATTATGATTTACTTATGATGCCAATGGGTGCAAAATAAAACTAAGGAGAAAAAAATCAGGAGGCTGATATTATAGAATGTGTAGCCACTGCTTGATCGAATTAAATTCCCTAGCTTGAGACCACTGGTTCAGATAACAAATACACTATAATGAGGCCACTGAAGCGATTGGTTAAGTATCAATGCAATAGGGAAGTTATTTTAAGAGAAGACACAACCAAAAGTTGCGTACAACACAAAGATGCATTCTGTAGCGCGTCACCCGACTCCCACTGCCATAGATGTCCTCCCACTGCCCCCATACTCAATCCTTGCAGCGCTCACAAAACTCGCCAATATCTGTATGCTCTCTTGGCCCCAGACCCTCTCGCAAACCCGCACACGATGACCACGGATCTGTCCACACTTGGTGTGCAAACCGATATTTCTGGAGGGTCTGCCCTCTCGGAGTGTTAGCGCTGTCGGAGAAGTCTTCCGTCCATGGCTTGCAGCCCAGGTAAGAAGCCGCTGGAAGATGCATTAGGGTCAGCCTGAGAGGCTCCGTGCCTAGGGAAAAAGTTCTGATGTTCTGGCTGATCAGGTGGAATGGTGCGAGGACGCTGATCCAATCGTGTCCAGAATCTGGTGCAGAGATCATCAAATGCACGGTTAAAGGCCTCCAGCCATGTGAGCTGCATCAAAGATGGTTGCCGGAGCGCAGGTGCATCAGCCATTTTAGGTGTGGTGGTCTGCACAATTGTACAGCTCTGCTTGTCTGCGACTAGCTTGACTGCAGTGGGGGCCGGGATAACCCCCACCTGCCCCCGGGGGGGAACAGGGCTCCTGATGACAGTGTTTTGTAAGGATAGAAAATCAGCTGCATTCCCTGCCAGGCCTCAGTGGGTAGCTGTATTGGAGGGGTCAGGGATGCCCCCAAAGATCCAAAGTTGAGTAAGGGTATCCCCATATAATAGAAGTAATTTCTTAAGAGACAAAGATGGTTAATTCTCCAGATAAATGCGAAATAGTGTGTTGTAATTGAGGAGCTCGGCCAGCATGCAACTTGCGAATTTGGCCTCGTCCCCTTTAAATATTTTTAATGAATGACAGGGTAAGTTATTAAAAAAGGCTAAATGGACTTTCGGTGCACATTTTTTTTAGAATGTTTTATTTTTGAGCATTCAAACTATTTAGCAGATTTGGCTGCTTGAATTGAGGTTGGTATTAAATCCAGCCAAATTAGATAACCTGGGCAAAAAAAAAAGGTTGATGATAATCAATTGTTTTGGCCAATATAATTAAATTGAGGCCTAAAGTTGAAAAATGCTGGTAATACAGATAAATCCAAACATGTTTTTCAGTATTCGACACTGGTCGTAAAAAAGAAAAACTAACAAACTTAAACAAGAGTGGTTTAATGCAACAGACTGTACAGGAAGCAGAAACCCTTTCATTATTTGCTTACATGGGGAACCGTCACTTTTCTGGAATTTACAGCATTGTATAAAACATTGAAGATCACCTATAACTCATGTAAACCTATTGTTATTCAATGCTGTTTTCTTTTAAACTTCTATAAACCCCTTCAGGATACATGATGGAAATTTTCCATCATGCTAGCCTTTTACTTCTGAAGCTCTCCATCACAATCCAGTGCAGACAAAGTTACTCCAAGGCGGGCATTGTAAATGAAGACATTATTTAATTTCTCTGCTTGGATGTTGGATATTGCTCCAAGCCTACCAGTTGCACAGAAGCCATATGCTTCCGAGTCTACTACCATCTCAGAATGGGTTGTGATGTCTTGAAGAATACCAACAACTCTGGCAGGAACTACTTTTTAAAGACCATTCTGGCTGAAAAGGCTTCCAAGATAAATACATTTAGAACATGTGAACCCAGCAGCAAATATCATTGATAGAGGACACTAAGTATGTATAGAGAATTGGAGAACATGTCTAACTAGTACCAAGGATAGTAAAATTTTACCTTCTGATGCATTATGAAGTAAATTTGGAATTCTCACTAGCACCAATTTAATAAGCTGTGGTGAGTTTTAATGTGGTGTATCAACAACCAAGTTAAAAGAATCTGAGGTAGCGGAAGAGGTGGCATTCAAATACGTCACCCCAGATATTTTTTTTCTGTAACAAGCTAGGAAGTGCTCCCCCAAATGTGGTGAGATTCCATATTAAGTCATAGAAAAAAATACTGCATAATGCTTAGAGATATCGTATCAAGCTATTTTTTTTTTACAAAATTGGGTACTACAACTCAGCTCATGTCATCCTTTGTTTTACACCTCACAAATAAAATTCCAATTAAAGAAAAGGTTGGAAGTGCTTGTTTGATAAACTCTGTGTGTGTTAAATATTTATAAATTATACACACCCCACAAAGAACTGACAGTGCTTTGTGGCCTGGCCCATAGATGAGATATGGTGGCAAGATACAGTAAAAAACAAGAGTTCTATGTTAGGGGTATTCAACCAAGACATTCAAACAAGAGCAACAAGTTCAATTTGTCGGATGATATTAAATTTTTTTTTTTTATAAATTTTCGTTCTAAAGTCACTGACGTAGTGTTTTCTTTCCATCAGCAAGACCACCATTAAAACAATAATTGTGGTCCTTAAAGTTCTCCTGGCACCAGCCCAAGATAAAGCCTGGGACCTATGGAGCTTAGTGAGAATGCGTGAAGGTTGCCAGGGATCTTTGTGATATTGTCATAGAGTATGGCATATTACAGTGAATAACTTCTCCATTGTTAAATTAGCAAGCTGAAGGCTGACCATCTTATCCTATAAGTGCATTATCCACTTGCGTAATCATTTGAATAATACTTTTAGAAGTCTGTGTGGTTTTCAGTTATAGGGATATAATTTCTAATTAGTGGGGTAATAACTCCTTGATCCAAGAAGATATCTGACTGCCATTTTGGAGTCAAGAATGAATTTTTCCCTAGTTTGTTGCAAAATTGGAAGCGCGTCAGACTGTTTTTTTGCCTTCTTTTGGATCAACAGCAAAAACGTCCCCCCAGGTTGAAGGAGAGACCATTTTACTGTTTTAGGATTTAGTAAAGGCCACGATCGGGCACACACATGCCAAGATCAAACTGAAGCAAGCAGAGATAGGGTCAGTACTAGAAGACTAAATGCAGAGAATTAAGAACTTAGCAGAAGCTACAAAAGACTGAGCTGTGATGCCAGGGTGTAACAGGCAGCAGATTTAGGTCATAACATATGTAAACTACAGGTGAGATCTTGTTGAGATGTAGTAAGCAATGCAGGATCCAGAAAGGATACTGAAGAATTAGACTTGAAATACAGGCTTCCTCTGACGGAATAAGAATGACAATTAAACTCTAGGCTGGATTTATAGGCATAAAAGCAATATTGTATGCCTATACAACATTGCTTGTTGTTCTCATGCATCGATCTCTTACCTAACAGATTACCTATTGAAATTCTAGATTGCAGAGGGATCTTTATGCTCCGTCAGATGAGCCATGGCAAGATGTGCAGTTATAACTACACCAGTATTTTTGCTTACCTCTAAGTATGGTAACAGATACACCCGGCAAAACAAGGAATTTTTTAGCTTGGACTCACTACAGACTTGTTCTCAGGAACAGAATAAAGATAATCCAGCCTGGGACTGCTGCTCTTTGCTAATCCAAATGTAGCAATGCAGGCTCAGCAGAGATAGTCCCTCCATCCGACCTAGAAAATTCTCATTGAGTGGCTTCAAAAGCATGCAAACCCATCTCTATATATGGAAAAATGATGGGCAAAATAAAAAAGTTATTCTGTGTTAATGAATGGCCCAGAACCGAAAGCTATTTCTTGTCCATTAGTTCCCAATCCAGTCCTCAAGGCACAGCAATAGTCCGGGATTTTTAGGCATTTCCAAATTCTGTTCATATCAGGATTTAGTAATGCCCTGTGAATCAAGAACCATGAAAGGGCACAGGTAAAAAGGAACAGCCGTTATATACAAAGGAACTGCAGAAGGTGCATTGGTCAGCATCATTCCTCCAACACCAAAAGGTACGTTTATGACACAAAAGGGTTTATCTCCAGAGAATGATGCTAGAGGAGTGAAAGTTTTAAAGGACATGAGAGAGTAGTGTCCAATGTGTTAAGATTGATGCCAGAATTATGTGTGGCTTCAGTACGAGAAGGAACAGTGTGGAGATTGATGCCGAAATGATGTACAGCATCAACAGAGAATACTGCACTCACAGGTAACCTGACAGTTCTTGACACAACCTGGACTATTGGTGTGACTTAAAGACTGGGTTGGGTATCACCTAGGAAATAGAGGAAAAGTCAGAAAATGAGATTTTGGGTTTAATGAGGCAGTCTTCATAAATGTACTTTTGCATTTCTGTTACTGCTGCTGTTCAGTAAATGCAGGTTAAATGACAGCCAGAGGCCTGATGCTACTTACCAATGTGGCACGTAATCTTTAACCTGATCAAAATCCTGTTGAGCAAGTCACCTGGACTAAGACAGGTGAAGGTTTTGTTCTATTAGGACTCCATGTGTTCCACAGTAGGGCCTCCGGGCAGGAGACAGAAGTAATCAAACAGAAGTAATCAAATATGGTTAGACAGGACAAACTCCCAACAATTCAAAAAGTCCCATAGCATCCCTAACTTGTGGAATCACAAGTAGGGAGATATCAGGGTTGTCACTCAAACATAATACTCCAGTGCAACAGGACAGTGATATCCAGTATAGAATAACAGAAACCTTGTGATGCATCCAAGCAAAGGCAACAATATGTTCCAGCACTTAGGCAGAATTGCGAGATCTAAAAAACTGTACGCCATCTTTATTGAATATTAAATTTAGAATAAAAACATAACTCTGCAAGTACAACCTACAGGACACATTTTAAATGGGGTAAATCTTAGTAATAAAGATAGGCAAACAAACTCACATGCAGTGTCAGTAAGTACAAAGGCTAGGGCAGAATAAAACTACCAAGAAGTCACGTAGCAGCAGCGTCCAGTTTTGAGGAATGCCCCACAATATTAAAGTTCATCAAGAAAGCAAAAGGTCAATGCCAAAAGCAAAAAAAGATAAGAAACAAATCAAAAATTAAACTTGAGGGTCTACAAAAAAAAAACAAAAACAAAAAAACTGACCAGAGAGTACTAGATGAGACAGGATCAAACAGCTATCTTAAACAACAGCAGTTGGTCTTTACAAGTATACAGAACTAGTTAATGTCATGCAACCTGGTAACCACAAAGAAACACTGCATGGTAGGTTTATAGTGTGGGAGGCAACATTGAAGAGCTCTGGTCATTTCCAGCCAGGGATTGGATGATTTAACATAGAATGCTTCTAGGTCAAATTGAAGGGTAAAACACACATACTGCACTCTATTAACTTATTGATGATATATCGTAAAAACATATGTCCACAGCTCTATCCCATTATTTCCCTTTTCTATGTCCATTGAGAACAGAAATTCTTCTTCTAGGCCAGGAGACAGCTGAGATGCTAGAGCAGAAGTGAAGAACCTAGGCCCGCCAGTTGTTTGCTGACTATACGTCTCAAGGGAAATATCTAGCCCAACAGTAAGGAACACTTCGGACCTTGAAATTCTCCTTTGTAAAAACCACCCACCTATCACATGTGAGCATATAAGATAGTCATCTTTGAACATCAAGTACTCAGAGCAGAATTGTTTAGGTCCGGATATCTTCATTCACAGGTTGATCTATTAATAAAACTTAGTCACCTATTAAAATTGATTCTTCAGTAAGGATACAAAAAAAAAATCTATTAAACTTCCGTATTGGCCACATTCTCACGCTGCCAAATAAATCCAATAAATGTCTAGAAGGGCATGAGTTTTGTAATATATTTTTAACAGATTAAAGATTATTCTATATTTAATATTTTCTGAGGCACATTAACTATATCACAGATATCATAAATGCAAAAGTTTTCAACTTACTAAAGTATTATTCAACAAACATGATAAAACAGACCAGAAAAAGGTTTTGTGTGTTCAGAAAAGGTTGCCTCATTGAACCATAAAAAAAAAGACTTAAGAAATCAAATAAAACATATAAACTATTCACAGCTTCAAGCTGAGGGTTAAGCCTAAAGCTATCATTACCTACATCTCACCTCACCTACCTTTACCTCTTAACCTAAAAAAATACATTCAAATGGCTATTGTGACAGACCCCTCTGTCTTTAAACTACTTTTATTCCTCCTTTGTTCGTCTGTTTGTTCAGCTATTTCCCTGTCCGTACGGTCCCTACACTATTTCCCCGTTTCACTGCCGAACGGGCGGCCACCCAGCATGGAAGTGTGCTGTTTGTTAACCTCTTGGCCTCATTAACGTTGTGGTTAACAGCAGACACTTCCTAATTGTCGAGTGTCGGCTGGGTGGTCGTCGCTCGTATGAACGAACACGTGGCGGCGGCCATCTTGGACATACGAATGCCCAGCGTTGTTCGTCAACGATTTCATGGAACTAAAAACGGACACAATTTTCTCACGAACACCACTGAAGCCGCCGACCTCCCTTCTTCTATTCTTCAGTTCATACGAACGCCGTCCCGCTCGGTACTTTGCAATACGAACCGAGTCACCCCAGGTAGCTATCCCATGGAGCCCATTCATATAACGAAAGACTATATGAAAGACTTTGGCTCCATGGCTACTGAACTGTATGTATGTGATCTGAGCGCTATTCGGTAATAATGTGCGCTCAGATCTAAGCTATCTGGGGATATGTTGCATATGCGGGTTACATTTGGTAAATTGTAAATTATATATTTTTATGCATTTTTTCTCTATGTTTATAAAATGGAGTTTGTCCTCTATCCTCGGAGATAATTGAGTTACTTCCCAATTATCTCCAGGATAGAGAGGGGGGTCCACAGTAACCAAAGGGGAGTATTTATTCCTGTATTGTTCTGATTGGTCACTGTACTATTTTGTCCCAGTTTTCCACCAGGTCCCCTAGGGGAGTGTCCACCTGGTGGGAAACCTGCATAAAAGGCGGGCAGGTAGTCCAGATAAAACAGATTCCTGCTTGACCCTCAATAAAGAGCCTCGTCTCGTACTTGGGGGGATTGTTCGTATGATTTTCCTGTTCGGCTGATTGGAGTGTGGATTATTCACATGTTTGCTTGTTCGGCTGATTGGAGTGTTCGGTAGCTGCCTTTACATTTGGGAAGGGAATATCCCCTTTTATACCCAGGGTGCCGTTACAGCTATTGTCATCAAGTTTCCCCCTTTAAGGATAATATTTTGTATGGAAATTGGCAAGATAATTTTTAAGAAAACGAAGGGAGGACTTAATCTTGTGGTGTATGAATAAGTGCTGTAAAGGCGTGAAATGCAACAGGTGGCTCAAAAAGTAGCTTTTTTTGTGGTGTATCATTCCCCACTATGTTGCAATCGTTTTATTAGTAAAATTCTATACACAGATGGAGTACTCCTTCTTTGGACCATACAGTTTGTTCCATGGATTTATTGTTCTGTTCCATCTCCACTGGGGGAACAGGCTGGACTATAAATATGTTTTTTCTCTCAATCTTGCTGTTTATGTGTGCATCCATGATCATCACCATATACAGTGATAAACTTCCTGTGATGTCATTTTAACACAATTTCAATATATATATATATATATATATATATTTTTTTTTTATATTTTTTTTCTTTACAGGTTGGCTACAAAGTACAGCTCATGTGAACTTTTCATCCTGTATTCACAAAGGGACAAAATATTTTGAAGGAAATAGACAACAGCACAATTTAGTAAAACACTCCTAAAATGACTAAAATGTTTCAGAACATGTATCATCCCCACCTAAAGATATCGTCATCTTATTCCTTTTAATCAGAGTAAAGTGAACTCATCAAAAAGAACATCAGGTTCTATAAAAGATCACAGTGAAAGAGATACACATATATCACATGTATTCGCAGTGTGTTTTTTTTTTTTTTCGTCATACAGCAACAAAAGATTGGAGAGAAGCATCGTGTCAGATGTGAAGTGCGAACAAAGTACTCAGAAATATTGCGTAAACAAAGACACGTACACAGAAGATACTTTCACCAGATCTCTGCTTTTCTAAAACAATCTGTCTTCCCCATAGAAATTGTTGTGGGGGAGAATAGCGTTCTGTTGAATAAAAGAAAAAAAAAAATAATAATAATAATGTTGATTTTCATTTGAAAAATGTGGATGTGCATGGACGTAATCATGCATTTTGTGATTAGATTTTGAAATATTGCAATGAGAACGGTCTGTAATTTTGGAAACAGAATGTATCACTTGGCAGAAGATACGAAGTAAAGGGTGCACTTCATCTGTCATTATCCAACCTACTGCAAAAACGTAGTTCTTCATTTATCTCTGATACCATATATTATTTTTAAAAGTCTCATGTCTTATGAAGTTATGAATCACCAGCCTGTATAAGCCAGATGAGGGAGGCTGTTAGACAGTTACACTACACCTTCGTTTAACGATATTACTCTCTGTCCCTCGAATGTTAGATCTGACCGTTTTTTTATTTTCTTTATATATGAAAATTCTCTATTTAAAGGAACACTGTAGTCACCTAAATTACTTTAGCTAAATAAAGCAGTTTTACTGTATAGATCATTCCCCTGCAATTTCACTGCTCAATTCACTGTCATTTAGAAGTTAAATCACTTTGTTTCTGTTAATGCAGCCCTAGCCACACCTCCCCTGGCTATGATTTACAGAGCCTGCATGAAAAAAAAACTGGTTTCACTTTCAAACAGATGTAATTTACCTTAAATAATTGTATCTCAATCTCTAAATTGAACTTTAATCACATACAGGAGGCTCTTGCAGGGTCTAGCAAGCTATTAACATAGCAGGGGATAAGAAAATCTTAATTAAACAGAACTTGCAATAAAGAAAGCCTAAATTTACAGGAAGTGTTTATGGAAGGCTGTGCAAGTCACATGCAGGGAGGTGTGACTAAGGTTCATAAACAAAGAGATTTAACTCCTAAATGGCAGAGGATTGAGCAGTGAGGCTGCACGGGCATGTTCTATACACCAAAACTGCTTAATTAAGCTAAAGTTGTTCAGGTGACTATAGTGTCCCTTTAAGGAAGATTTTTGTAATAAGAGCATAGGATGATATAGTCCATGCAAATGACTGTTGGGCAATCTTTTTGATTTTAACAGAAGAGAATTGGAAAATAGAGGAAAAAGAGAGAAATAAACATGTATAAGTTATAAACTAGAAACAAATAGTAAGACCAAGAGAAAAGGATATCCCCAAAGAGCTAGGAACATAAACAGGGCGAAATACTGATTTAAGAAGTTCCACCTCACACTTGGGGATTATACAGATGATCCAGGCTAGACGTGAGTTAGTACATCATAATAAGCAAGAGACAAATGCAGACGTAATCGAGGTATAAAGCGTACATCCTTGTCTTGAAGATACACCTCAGTGTTAATTTTGTCGACTAACCATTTTAGTCGATTTCTGAGACTTAGTCGACTAAAACTAGACTAAAACAATTCTGATGGAAATACGACTAAAACGGCTTTTTAGTCAAAAGACTATGACTAAAATTTGCCGCCAAAATTAACACTGATACACCTGTATTATTTTTTTAAACCAGACTACACAAGTAGTTGAATGAATTATATCATACAGCTGAGACTTAATATCAGATAAAACCGTAAAGCAATGAATGTTTGTTTGAAAGTCAGGGCTAAATGGTGCTAAACTACGGATTCCTGTAGTGAACCTGTAACCTATTAAAAGGTGGTAGGATCAGTAACAAACTATTGCCATGCCCTATGGGGATATAGTGAGGGACAAAAAAGAAAAATGTTTAATGTATTATATGTTATACATTAACAATACGCAGAACAACAATACAATATTAGGACAAAGAATAAATAAGACATACATGGAAATATTAAAGCCAATGTTTAGACCAACTCAAATAGAATTTATAAGTGTGTATAGAACATCATATTCACAGATCAAAACTTAGCATTTTGGAAAGTAATGTAGAAACCCAACACTGACAGAGTTATTTATAAAACTAAGTACATCAATTAAAAATCCTGTGTAACAGGCAGCAGATGTAGGTCATATCATACATAAACTACAGGTGAGATCTTGTTGAGATGTGGCAAGTAAGCCAGGATCCAGAAAGGATACTGAAGGATTAGGCTTGAAATACAGGTTTCCTCTAACAACGGAACAAGACTGACAACAATAAGGTCAACGATTAAACTCTAGCCAGGACTTATAGGCATACAAGCAATGATCAATGTATGTAAAACTGAGAACTGTTCTCATCACTGATCTCTCACCTAACATTAGATTACATATTGGCATTCTAGATAGCTATGGCTTCTTCATGCTCAGTCAGATGAGC